GATACAAGTGATATTGGGGTGGAAAAATCGAACCTAGGATCTTGAGTGCATAGGCAAATACTCTTAATCACTTTCGTAACATATCAAGCATGTCTTCAAAATCTTAACGACCAACTTACGACAAAAAAGAAAAAAAGACAAAAAATGTTTTGGGGGCAAATAAAGGTAAATATATAGGAATTCCTTCCTACGTCTGAGAATCCATTCTGTTTGTGTGGCCACAAAAAAAAGGTGGGAGAATCCCATTTCAATGCTTTCCCATCTTTTGCCCTCTGCCTCGCTTTCAATCGCTTCATCTTCTTTACAGTGGCTCACCGTTACTTAGCCCAACTGCAGCTATGCTGCCCTCAAAGCCCCGTCTCATACTCTATAGCTCGAACGACCCATGCCCACATGATAGTTTCTGGGTTCAAGCCATGTGGCCATATTCTTAACCGCTTGATTGATGTCTACTATAAATCTTTAAATTTTAGTTATGCCCACCAACTGTTCGATCAAATTCCAAAACCAGACATTGTTGCTAGAACCACCTTGATTACGGCGTACTCTGCCATTGGGAATCTAACGCTGGCTCGGAAGATATTCAATGAAACTCCGTTGAGCATGCGAGACACTGTTTGTTACAATGCGATGATCACAGGCTATTCTCGTAACAATGATGGCTATGCCTCTATTAGACTATTTTGTGAGATGAGGCAAGGTAGTTTTAGGCCTAACGATTTCACATATACGACTGTACTACGTGGTGCGGCACAGATAGTGGATGTTGAAAAGCAGTGCCAGCAACTACATTGTGCAGTAGTTAAGTCAGGAACAGGGTTTGCCACTTCGGTGTGGAATGCGCTGTTATCTGTTTATGTTAGATGTGCTTCTTCACCATTAGTATCATCATCATCATTGATGGGTGAAGCTAGGAATTTGTTTAATGAGATGCCTGAGAGAGATGAACTATCATGGACAACGATGATTACTGGGTACATAAGGAATGAAGACCTTCATGCAGCTCGGGAATTGCTAGATGGGATGGATGAAAGGATGGAAGTTGTATGGAATGCGATGATTTCGGGTTATGCTCACCACAATTCTTTTCAAGAAGCATTGCTTTTGTTTAGGAAAATGCGGTTAGTGGGGATTCATCAGGATGAATTTACATACACTAGTGTTATTAGTTCTTGCGCTAATAATGGACTATTTCAGCTTGGGAAGCAGGTGCATGCTTACATACTTAGAACCGAAGCTAAGCCTACTGTGGATTTTTCATTATCTGTGAACAATACATTGCTTACACTATATTACAAATGTGGTAAACTTGATGAAGCACGGTATATTTTTAATAATATGCCTGTTAAAGATCTTGTTTCTTGGAATGCAATCCTTTCAGGGTATGTTAGGGCAGGGCGCATCCAGGAAGCAAAATCCTTTTTTAAGGAAATGCCAGAGAGGAGCATTCTGACATGGACTGTGATGATATCTGGTTTAGCTCGAAATGGATTAGGAGAAGAAGCAATGAAGCTATTCAACCAAATGCGATTAGAAGGTTTTGAGCCGTGTGATTATGCATTTTCTGGAGCAATTACATCTTGTGCTGCGCTCGGAGCATTGGAGCATGGACGCCAGCTCCATGCTCAACTAATTAGCTTGGGGTTTGATTCAAGCCTTTCAGCTGCAAATGCACTTATCACAATGTATGCAAGATGCGGAGTTTTCGAGGATGCAAGCTCTGTGTTTCTTACCATGCCTTATATTGATTCAGTGTCTTGGAATGCTATGATTGCAGCTGTGGCACAACATGGACATGGTGTTCAAGCAATAGACCTTTTTGAAAAAATGTTGAAGGCAGATATACTACCAGATAGAATAACTTTCCTCGTCATTCTATCAGCTTGTAGTCATGCTGGTTTAGTCAAGGAAGGGCGCCATTATTTTAGTTCAATGCGTGTCTCTTATGGTATTAGCCCTGATGAAGGCCATTATGCTCGCATGATTGATCTGTTGTGTCGATGTGGGGAGTTCACAGAAGCCAAGGGCTTGATTGAATCGATGCCTTTTGAGCCAGGTGGACCGATTTGGGAGGCTCTTCTTGCTGGTTGTCGGACTCATGGGAATATGGATTTAGGAATTCAAGCAGCAGAACGACTCTTTGAGTTGGTGCCACAACACGATGGAACTTACATACTTTTGTCAAACCTGTATGCCGCTATAGGCCATTGGGATGATGTGGCTAAGGTGCGGAAACTAATGAGAGATCGAGGGGTTAAGAAAGAGCCTGGTTGTAGTTGGATTGACGTTGAAAACATGGTCCACGTCTTCTTAGTTGGTGATACTGAGCACCCTGAGGTCCAAGCCGTGTACAAATATCTTGAGCAACTAGGACTTGAAATGAGGAAGTTAGGATATCTCCCTGACACAAAGTTTGTGTTGCATGATATGGAGTCTGAGCATAAGGAGTATTCCTTGTCTACTCACAGTGAGAAGCTTGCAGTTGCATTTGGGCTCATGAAGCTTCCTCTCAGAGCCACAATCAGAGTTTTTAAGAATCTTAGGATTTGTGGGGATTGCCATACTGCAATTAAGTTTATGTCAAGAGTGGTTGGAAGAGACATAATTGTGAGGGATGCAAAGAGGTTTCATCATTTTAGGAATGGTGAATGCTCTTGTGGCAATTACTGGTAATCTGGCCCGAGCTTGTAAAGAGAATCATGATGCAGATCATGATTCCACACAATCAGCCCATTCCATGAAATCAGTCGATCCCACTAAATTAGCATTGACAGACTCCCCATCACAAGATCAGCTTCATCCCAGCTAGGAATTAGTTTACAATTGATTCTGTAATATATGAGATTAATTATACTTACCTTATATTACTTGCCTTCTGTGAATAGACTTGAGAAAGTCTAACCCGTGTACAGTATATATACAGCTAATAATACAAGAACTGATCATGTTGGCTGTGCAATTATTCTTCAGCTCTGTTTCTCATCTCTCTTCCTCTTCAGTTTATTATTCTTATACCTTGATGGGAGGAGGTTTTATAATTACTTGGCAGGTTGATCCCCTCAACCACCAGGTGAAGCTTTGTGATTTCGGAAGTGAAAAAGTTCTGGTGTGTTTGTCTTCATGACATGATTGAATGCAAGTGTAAATCATGACATTTTACACTTGCATTCAATCATGTCATGACACTACGTTTTAGAACTTAGAGGCAGAATGACCAGTTGCTTTTATGATGGATAATCTTTTCTTGTTGATAAACCAATAGTCAATCACCTGTCCATTTGGTGAAATTTAATGCATGGCTTCAACACAAGATATTAGTACTTGTTTGAGTTAATGTCTGTTTATACGTCAACCACCTTTCTTTTTCAAGGCTTCATGCTAATAGAGTTGCTATGTTCCTAAGAAAATCAGTTTCCTTGTATGATTTCTTTTCAATGATTTTCTTGCTAATCACGGTCAAGAGAGAAGCAAAAATTTCAAACATATGTTCTCGTCGCTATCAGGCTCCTGAACTAATCTTTGGTGCAAAGAATATTCAACACCCATTAATGTCTGGGCAGCTGGTTGTGTCCTTGCCGAGCTTCTTCTGGGCCAGGTTATCGACTGCTTCGGCTTATTGTTGGCATAAGTTAACTTGGGTTAAAGAATATTTACTTTTTAACTGATCAAAACAATTCAAAGTCTTCTGCAGCCATTGTTTCCAGGAGTGGACCAACTTGTTTTTCGTAACTTTTTTAATTACAAATACCTACATGAGCAAAATAAACATGAAACTAACTAGATTAGATTGGATTCTCACAAGCAAATCCACCATCCAATTATATCTGTTTTAGAAATTATGGATCCAATCCAATCCATTAAATAATCAAAACCAATTAAAATTGAATTGAATTGAATCGGCCAATTTGTGAAGATTAGATTGGATTAGATCTTGTACACCCTAGTTAGTACATCCCAAGTTGTAGACAAAACTAATTAGGTTAGTTAGTCTTTGAGCCAAATGGTTATGTTCTCTATAAAGAGAAGCCTCTCAAATTTTGCCCACGTTTGGTAGACTAGACCACACCATATGCTCGATGCAGCATTATATCAATATTCAAATCACAACAAATATTATGGATGGGAGAAAACAAGTGACTCACTAACCTCAAGCCACTCCAATGTGTCACATGGGGTTTAGTTAAGGGCCACACACATATCGGCTTCCAATTTAACTCATCAATTCAACACTTTTGTAACCATCGATACTTAAGGGTCGTTTAATAACCATTTCATTTTTCATTTTTAGTTTTCATTTTTTTTTGTTAAAAGTATAAATTCATTAGAAAATGTTCTCATGTGAGACGGTGAATTTGAATTTCGTATGAATGTTTAAAACTCATGAGCATCTATCTAACCATGTAAATCTAATAAGACAACATTACTAACTAATTACAGGTTTGAAGAAGAACAACTAAAACTCATGTTGTCCAGTACGGAGATATGAGTCATAGGCAGATTTCCTCTTTACTTACATGGGTGATCCTGCAGCTTATGGCTATACTTCTACCAAAGATGCCTCTTCTTCACCATCAATCTCAAGGGGTTGTTAGTCAATGTGACGCGACCCTCCTTTATTTGCAGCACAAGGTATGCTGTTATAAATTATCTTATAATATGCTTGCATCATATATATATGTACTGGTTACTGGTTTAGATTTACAATCTAACAACAGCAGGATATGTCGAATTTTCTAGTAAGAGAAAATTTCCGTTTTGAAACGTTTTTCTTACAAGTCATTTCCTTTTGATTTTCAGTTCCAAAGAGCTCGAAGCCTCGAACTGGCTCCCAGGAGAAAACGGAAGCTCAAAAGCAGTCCCAATCATCTACAAGGCAGCCCTGCACGCCTAAGTTCCTCCCAACTCCAAATACACTACACAAGTGTCAATTATTTGTGCTTATCACTTTACTATTATAAATCAATAATACTAAAGACACCAATTTACTACAACTTTCTCTTTTTTTTTATAAATGAAACGGGGCGTTTTTTTTTTCTTTGAGATGAGAGATTTTTATTGCACAGAACAAAATCGGAACAGGAACAAAACAGGAGTGGCCAAGGAAGGCACACAAACCCCAAACAAAAGGAAAACAACTAAACAACCTACGTGGATGAAACTAAAGTTGATATCCTTAAATTCTGAAGAAGTTGATGCCCACAATGACGCCCAGAAATGAATCCGATCCCAAAGCTGGTCAATCTCATCACCCTTAGCATCATCAAAAAATTCTCTTGTTCCTCTCCATCCACACCACCCGAAACACTGCCATCATAGCAGTTACCAACATATGGAAGGAAATACACACGAGCTATTGCCAACATATGCAATGCCGGGGTCACAGTGGAGAAAATGGTTGCAGCCTCACATCAAACTCGTTCTGAGAAACCCCATCTCTAGTTTCTTTTCTTTTTCTCCTAAATTGAATGAAGTATTAATAAAAATTCAAGCATATGACAGCTTAGTTTTATGTTATCTAAAGGAGATTGAAAATTTAGCCAATCACAAACCATATACAGACATTGAAATTCCATATGTTCTTATTACAAATCAGAGCTTAATGATTCAACCAATAAGAATACCATCACTGAATGAAATCCCTGAAAACTTAAAATGTCTTTAAAATGACAAGAACAAAATCAAATATTTGGAATTATTATTTCTCTATCAGCACAATTTAAGAAGTTGACAAAAGATAGTCTGGTACAGATGAAACATGTAGAAAAACAAATATAAGTAAAGTAACCAATGAACATTTGTTGGTAAAATGCTTTTGCTTTATTATTTGAAAATACTATCTCTCAGATCTTGCCCCAGAGGAATTGTCAAAACATCATCCGAGTAAAAAGTTGAGAAACAGAACAATAAGTACAAAGAGAATCAAGGATTTCCTCAGAATTGTTTTCTTATTAAAACGCGCAACAGTTTGCTATCCATACCATTTTAGGAAGTATAGTTAACCATCGTTTTTTCCCTGTTCGGGAATCATAGCTATTGTATTTCTCTCGTGTAACCATGAGATGTCTTTAAGATATCAATTTATCAAAATTTCATGTCAAAAGTTACTCACACGAAAAGCAGGCTGCAATACACAAGTTTACCTTCCAGGAGTGGTTATCCTGAGTTCTATCCAAACTGCTCCCAATAATGCTAACCAGTTACACTGCCAAAAGTAACACAGATTTCAAAATGTGTTTCCAAAATATGAAAAAAGAAGAAAAAAAACATAGTGCAGGTGGTCTTTCAGTAACTTCCGAAGAGCATAGTTCATTTCAAAAGTCAAAGGAAATCTATCGAAACTATCACCAAAAATGAGGGAAATTATTAAACCAGTTGGAATAAGAACAGAAACTCACAGTGAACCCATGAAATGAAGAAACCAGCGTGACTGACAACTGACTTTGAGAAATGTTTCTGGACTTGGCCAGTCATACATGAACATAGCAACTATTTGTTTGTTGGAGTAGTGTCTTTCCCTCGTAGACACCGGCAGAACTACTGTCAGATTAGCAATGCAAGGCAGTTGCAGGGTAGTTACTCACCTCCAATTCAGATTCACCATTACTCTTCACTATTACTATTCTGTGCTTCGTAGAGCAAGTTACCAGCCCTAAACAACTGATGTTTAAGAATATGACTAAAGTGGGGGCTTTCGCATGGTGCTGCCCAAAATGCCAATCTAAATAGGGCAGTTGTTTAATTATTCAGTAGCAAAAGCATAGCTGGTTTCTAACGTAATATTCGAGCCACTTGAATTTTCCACTGAAGTTTCTTTGCTTCATCTGTATACCCTGAACTACGAAGACCAGCAAGGACAGCTCGTTTGGTAGCCCTGAGTATTTTCTTGCCATCTTTTAAACATTTCATCATAAGCTTGGATGCACAACGGAACCTTCCAGCCCTGCAAAGATTGTGCACCAAGGAGGTGTAGGTAACAGAGTCTTTAGTCTCCATTGATTTGTACAATTCCATTGCACGATCAATATGACCAGCTTTACACAACCCATCAATCATGCAGTTGAGGGCAACCAAGTTTTCATGGAAGCCCATCATTTTCATATAATGTAAATGGTGTTGAGCCCCAGTAATATTACCAGCTTTACACAAGCCATCAATTATAATTGTGTGGGTATACTTGTCACACAGCAGACCTCCCTTCTCTATTTCATCCAACAACTTATAGGCAGCTTCAAACTTACCTTCTCTACAATACATATTAAGTAAGGTGTTATATGCTGCTAAATCGAGTTCAATGCCATTACTCATTACCTGTTCCATGCAAGCATTTGCCTCTTCTATCCTCCCAGTCTTAACTAAAGCAGCAACGATTGTGCAGTATGCAAAACTATCAAATGTATACCCTTTACTCTTCATCTCCGACATAATATCAAGCCCTTTGTCATACTGCTTAGACCTAAAGCAGCATTTCATAACTGTAGTGTAGGTTATGGCATTTGGCTCAAGATCCGATTCCCCAAGTTCCCTTAGCATTGTCCTTGCTTGCCGCAATCTGCGTGCCTTGCATAGCCCATTGATAAGAATATTGTATGTCACTAATTGGGGAACAAAACCATGACGTTGCAAATTTCTAAATAACATAAGGGCATTATCAATGTATTCATTTTTACAAAGGCCATTAATCATTATGTTAAAGGTAGCTGGGTGAGAAGCGAGATTGCTAAGTAAAATATCCTGAAATACTCTGTTGGCTTCATCGGGTTTTCCCAATTTAAAGAAACAATTCATCAGAATATTGTAACTCCATACATCAGGATGTATACCTGCTTGTAGCATTTCCTCAAACAAATCCAGGGATTGTGATAATAAACAATCCCTGGTCGACCCAGCTATCAAAGAATTGTAAGTAATGACATCTGGACTTATCCCAACTTCTTTCATTCTATGAATAACAGAATAAGCTGCATCTAAGCTAACATACCGAGAATATGCACTGACCAAAGTATTGTAAGTTACCACATCTGGAATCACCCCTAATCTTACACCGTCAATTATAATGGCTTCTGCTTTCTCCAGTAGCCGGACTTTACAAAATGAAGCTATGCATATGTTCAACAGCTTAGTTGATAATCCACGAAACATCATTTACATCACAGATTATGACTTCCCATGAGAAACCCAAGCCTGCACGATGCCAAGACGGAATGTGTTACCATATATTCCTTTCTTATCAGTAAACAACCAAATAATCTATAAGAGTGTTATCCGAACCAGTGTTTTTAAAGGCATGCGTCGGAGCGAGAAGGCAGAAAATCGCCCGAGGCGGTCGGCTGTTTAGCGCGGTGAAGGCGTAAGGAGGCGTTGCAAGGCGTGGCCAGGCGGAGCGACGCGAGCCCGATCTGGACACTTCTGAACCGGAAGAAATTTTGCGAGTCTGCAAATTGGCTGCAACTCTGCGAGGACGACGACTGTTTGTTTTTAAGGTTATTGCTATGAAACGACGTCGTTTCGATTGCAGGATTTTTTTTAAAAAAAAAAAAAAAATCTAAATGCAACCACGTCGTTTCACTTGGAGTGTTTCGATGAAGTTAAAAAAAAACGTAGGTTTCTGTTTTTTAAATCCAGCCCGCTGTAGCTTTATTCTACTGACCTTCTTTATTTATTTTTTTTAATGCTAAATTAATATATTAATATATGGACTTATCTATATATATAAAACAAAGGTAGAGAATGATGAAACATTCAAAATACCAGAAAATGTCCTTGGTTATCTGCAAGTAAGCCATTTTATTTTTCTTTCTAATTCTTTGCAACTGTAATTTGAAGTTCCGTATAATTTTTTTTCAATATATTAGTTATCTTATTCGTTTATGTGATATAGTAGAAATTTGACATACATGCATCATACTCAAGGGCGGAACCAGAAATTTTTCAACGGGTGGGCTAGCTAAAGTTATTAGCTTTAAAATTTAGTGATTATTTTTTTTTGGTACTTACAATTTCTATAGTCTTTCTAGAAATAAAAGTAAACATTAAATCATATAAACCAAGCTAGTTCATAGCTCCATAGACTAATTTTCAATAAGTTTTAACATAAACCAAATAAGGTTTAATACCATAGTGGATTGAACATCTAAGATTTTTTTACCTAGATTGATCTTAGGTTCTTTCATGCATTCATATTATAGATGAAAAGTTATTTTATGTAAAAATATTGACTAAGTATGAAAAATGGGTTTTCGAAATAATCATTTTCTGAAGATAATTTTTGCCGGCTTTTATTCCTTACACATCAAATAAGAAAACTTGATTTTATGGGATTTTAGTATGAAGTATACATTGACTTAATGAGCCATTATTTTTAGCCTAAATCGTATTTTGCACTAAAACCGATTTTTCATATTTTGATTTAGTGGGAATTTGATTTTCTAGTATTTTTATTTGAATCCAAATGAGGGGTAATACTGAAAATAAGTTAAATATATATATAAGTTTTATATTTTTTTTCCTTAAAAAACCACACTGGGCTACAGCCCACTGTAGCCCTTAGTGTGGTTCCGCCCCTGATCATACTTGTATCTTAGAAATATTAATGGTGTTGTTTAATAACTATGAATCGAAAAGATCATGTGTGAAAGTTTGCAAAAGAAATAGAGGGGGAAAAATACTTAAGATGCACATTTTGTGATCAAATATGCAGTGGAGAAATTTTTAGACTTAAACATCATTTGGGTCAAACTCATCATGCTATGCAACCATGTAAGAAAGTTCCTGAGCATGTGAAAACCTTAGATTCAATTTCTCAAGATCAAGAATCAACTTCAATCATCCTTGTGGCCGCTAATTATCTCTGAGGCCAAAATCCTCCATTTCTAGGTCAATAAATGCATCAAGAGCTCTCAAAGAACCAACTTCAATGTGATGGTCATTGTACCCTATGAGACCGTGAGTGTTAACATACCCTACCTTTGCATTGAATTTATTTTTTTGGTTAGCCATCATCACTTGAAGCCCAAAAATAAAACTCAACTCTCTTATCCATCAATGAATTCAAAGCAAAACAACAAAAATATAGTGGATGATGGCATTAGAGGCGTGGATATGAGACGGGGAGGGATGAGGAGGTTGACATCACGATGAAGATAAAAGAGGGGTGAGACCATGAGGGAGACAAGGGAGGCTAAGAGAGATGAGGATACTAGAATTTTGGTGTTAAATTCGTAAGAAAAATGATTTATATTATCAATATATGTGACAACATCATATAATCAATCCAGTTTGGTTTTTAAGTGGTAAAAATTGAGAAACGAACAGCTTTAAGCCAAAACTAATTTTTCTGGTTTTTTTCCATATTGATTTGGTTCGGTTCATCAGTTCAAATGCCCACCCTTAGTAAAGTACTAAGCCCATGTGAACTTCATTCAAACCGATAAATCGAGCCGAATCGAGTTGAAAAAAACCCAAAAAGAAAATTATGTTGACCAAAAAAGTCAACTGAGGCTCAAAAATTGAACATGATAGTTTGGATAATTTCCCATCCACATGAAGATACTTAATTCCAATTAATACACAACTGGCTTAGTCCCAATTTATACCTCACTAAATAACAACTCTAGCACTACTTCTTTTTCTTTTTGGTGAATCATACTCATTCTTCTTGTTACGCCTCATTCTTTCTCTCCTTTCATATTGTCTCTTTTTCCTATTTTCCCCTTCTTTCTACTTCTCTCTTATTCCTATTTCTCTCTTCTGCATATCTTCCTCTTTTCTCTTCTTCCAAACCGCAAACCGGCCAAATCAAACTGAAACCGTATAAGTTTGATTTGGTTCGGTTAGTCAAGCACTAATCAAATTGAATCGGATTGTGTGTAAGTTTCGATTTCAGTTCCAATTCGAGGATAAATTGTCGGTCCAGTTCAATTCCTCTAGATACTTTATATGAAAATTGAAAGAAACCAAACCGTATACGTAAGTTTTGATTTTAGTTCCAATTCGAGGAATAAACCGGACCGTGCCCACCCTTACTTATATGTGTCACAACTCTTTCTTTTCTTTCTTACCTCTCTCTCCCTCTCTCCCCTACTTCTTTTTCTTTCTATTCTATCTACCCATAATTTTTTGGCCTGATATCTCTCCATTTCTTTTTTTTCCTTTAGATATATAATGTTTCTATGCCATCTCTCTCTCTCTCTCTTCCCAATTATTATTCTTTTTTAAGATTTACGTCAAGTTCTATATCTAGTTTTCCTTTTCATCTCTCTTTGTGCATCTTTTCATATGTCCCTATCTTAATTTGGTTCACGTATCATCACGCTTTTATTTAGCCTTTTTCAGATCTAATCTTACTATAGTCTGCAAGAGATGTGTTTGAACTTTCTGTGATTTTTTGAATATGTATTTTGGTTTGAGTTGTAGAGATCTATTACGTACAAACCTTATAGTGATAAAGAAGATAAGTGTTGCTGCAAGAAATAGTGTTGTTGCAATAGGTTTAGACTATCGTTCGAAAAAAATTATCAAGGTTTGTGTGCCATTTAGAAAGTTGGCATGGACCTCTATGTCATGAACCTTTGAACAAACTCTATTTAATTAGATTGATTGAGAATATAAGATACATTATTTGTACAGAATACATAGCAGAGAAAATGTGCACAACAATTTAGATCAATTTTAATAAAAAGTAACGAAGTCCCATGTAGCAACTTCTAATTGATAAAGCTTTAAACTAGGTTCCACTTTCTACATCTGAAAGTATCATTTTTTTTTTCTTTCACTTTTTTAGTACAAGCGATAGTCTAAACTACGAGGGAGGGGAGTTTCTCACATACACACAACTACGATTCCATGAGGGTTCGAACCTGACACCTTTGATTTGCCATGGGATTCCTTTTCTTTGTTTCCAAGATTTCAGGTAAATATGGATCATTAGTTGTGTTGACTATCCATAGGATGAAGTTGATACGATTAACAATACATCAGGGTGACTTTGTGATGAACGAAATCAATGGTAGGAAAGTATTTGGTGTCACATGCGTACCAGGTGATCAAACTAGTAGAAAAAGAAAACAAATAAAAAAAGAACCAGACCTTGCTCTACAGATATTTAGAACCAAAAAAAAAAAAAAATGGAAAAAAGGAAAAGTAGAAAAGAAAAATATTTACTACAAATTATCATGTTCAATAACTTGTGCACCTCTCCAATCCTCACCAGGCTTGACAACCACAGGTACCAGCATTGAAGCAGGGCCAGTGCATATAAAATACTCCTCCCCATATTTCTCATACAAAGAACCAGGGCTGGATAAGTAGATATCCTCAAATCCCATGCGTATCACCCTATAGAAGAGCTCACGCCCCTGAAATTCACAAACCAATAAGTTAGAAAAAAAACAAATTTATTATGTGTATATAAATATGTACAAGAACTAATGTCATTGGTAATTTTCCTTGTCGGACAGTGAATCTGAACTATTGATTAGGTGATGCGGTCATAATTCCAAGTCACGCAATCCCATAAAAAACTGGCAACTAATTACAATTTTTGATTTTACGTCTGGCAAGACTCAATTATTCATTCCTTATGTTTTTGCTGATTTTTTATATTATTTAACGACACATCAAACTCTCGTTCATGAGATTTGAATAGACGGATTATCACTGGATATATTTTTGTTGATTAGGAGTTAGATTAAGAATATTTAGCAAAGAATGGTTACCTGATCCAGTGTTTCATATTTGGAAGGTGGGGTGTTATAAATTGGCTTGAGTCTCTCTTTAGGAGGGGCAGCATAAACCCTGCTGAGCTTGTTTTTCAAAATGGTGAAAGGCACATCTTGGTGAGTCCAAGAACCTGGCTTTTCTTCAGGCTGAGAACCAAAATCGAACCACCCTGGAGTGTC